GTTGCTTGTTTACCAGCTAGACTTGGCAAACAAATGTCCACAACCATGGATAAACTTTAACTGCATTTTATCAACAATGACAATGCGACTTTACCGAAAGAACCAAACAATATGAATTCCTGCAGTCACGAAAGTTTTAAGTCGAAACTTAATGTTGTAAAACTTTGCAATGTCAGAAAACCCTTGCCACGACTCCCATCATCACAGCCTCCATCAAGGTGTCGACCCACTCCATCTTCCCAGGGTTCTCCCTCACCCTTTTACAGCACCGTCATCACAACAACATCCACCTCTCAACAAGCTCGACGCCAGGACTTAAGTCTCCACTCTGAAGTCTCCCGAGAACACTAAAACGCATCCCTTTTTAAATCCTTTATATTAAGTTCACTTGCTTGCTTGCTTAGGACCGTGCAAATCTTTCGGTCGTTTTTTAACGCACTTCCCGTGATCCAATCGAGCTGACATTTTCCACACAGACTTGTTGTGCGTGACAATTAATGTTCGTGAATTTTTTTTTTCCAAAATGTTACACTTTTTAGGACAAAAATATTATATTTAATTACCAATTGCTTAATGCTGCCATGCAATCATCTGACCCATAGGTGGCAGCCATCTCAAGCCAGAGGACGAGAGGACTCTAGCCGCCCCGATGTCACGCATATAAAGGATTTATAATGAAAAACTTTGTTTTTACGGGTTAATTTTTATCCGCAAAAAATCCCAAACTCGCACCCTCGCTCACATTATACTCATTACTCCCTCCCCCAGGCGAATCCTTCACGCACATTGTTGGTCATTAACAATTCCGCCTGTTGATCCCTCCGCTGCGTCTCACGCTCTCTCCCACGCGCGTTGTCCACGCCACGAGTCATCCAGTCCCGCACCTCCGATTCGCACGTTTGGCGACGTACGGTGCGAAAGAAGTTCAACGCACATTTTCTCTGTACGTTGTGTACATACATCCGCGATCCCACCTCCTCGCTTCTCGCATTGCGAGTTACAATATCAACCTGAGTTATCAGGTGTCCATTTGTCAAGTCTACATCATACTCGCCGTGTATCTCCTCCCATCCCTAATCTTGCCTAAATATTGTGTTTGTTCATATTACTTCCAGTAACTTCTTCCGATACCTTGACACATTTACTGTACATACCATACCATTGTTAAAATTCTTATGTTCAACTTTCCGATTGTTTCTGAAAATGTATTTGTGTAAATGTCCTTATCTTATTCGGACATTATTTTCACAAACTACGTATCCTTACTATTGTTGATATTTATCACATCCTTCAATCATCACCCACCATTAGTTTGCATGTTCGACGTGTATTAATTTCCCAATTTTCAACACTATACATTCACCCCTAACCTTCGCACCCAGCATAAACAGCATTCCCAGTAATACTGTTATCATACACACCTCTTCATCAAGCCCCCAAACACCCGATTTCCTCTTTTATTTTCCTCATACACCTCTTCACATCTCATTGTACCACTCAACACACTTCTTTACTCAGCCCCTGCTAAGGGAAGAAGTGTGTTCCCTCAGCCCATCGCAAGTCGCACAACGACACTGCCATATAAAGTAGTGTAATTGAAATGGATATATCGTATATTATTTATACTTACTGAAATACTTCAAAGCGACAATAATCCTTCACGTTGTTCATTTCTTTTTGCAACTAAGGTTGAGAGTGGTAATCCATTAGCTCTGTGCCTCTGTCCTTCTGCCGACATCTGCCCATCCATCTGTAAAGGAGTAGTCAATGTAACTGTTGTCAAGATGATCAAATTTGGTGGTTGGCACACGCCTGGAACCCAGGGGCGAGGGTTGGTGGATTGCACAAATGTTGTGAAACTCCCTTCCCGTGGACATCACGGTGCCATATGCTGGCTCGCCAGCAGAATACAGGACAGGAAAATGTGGACTAATATCATCTGTCCCTTCTGTATGGGATAGAGTGTTGCCACCTCACGTGTGTCGGTTTTCTCCATGTGCTCCGGTTTCCTCCCACATCGATAAACACTCACTGATTTTCCTGAAAACACCTTAATATATAGAGAACTACAGAGCAATTCTTGGTGTTAGCTTACTGCCTGGCAACCTTCCAGCTTGTCTGTGGTTCCTCAGCAAGTGAGATGAAATTTCCAGGAACGATGCTATATAAAACTCTGTATTAGATGATGAGTATTATTATTATACTTGCTTACCCAGGAAAAGCTTCACTAAGCTTCAAAACTTTTTTTAGAAGGGTCGTTTCGAGTTTACGAAGTCGTGGGCAATTTCCGGATGCGTAATCCCAATTGAATAATTAATTTAAGGTCATATTTTAGCATTGGAATGTTTGGCCAATAAGAGTTACATTACACTTTTTAGCTTTGGGAGGAAACCCAGAGAAAACTCATGCAGAACAGGGGGAGAACAAACAAACTCTACACAGAAAGGCGCTCGAGTTTAAAATCGAACCTAGGCCCTGCTTGCTGTAAGGCACAAGTGTTTCCACTGTACTCCCCTATCAACACAGTGAGGCAGTAGATCCACTGTGTTGATATTCTGAACTTACCCCATAAACAATCAAGCAACATGTATCAAATGATTGCAATGAGAGACAGCATGAAAAACAACACAAATCCCAATATCTATACACAGAGATATACCATTAAAGTTCTGATGGGACACTGAGGGTGGGCCTTACCTACAACGCCAAACATTGAGTTGACACATTTTTGTACATTTTAAGAACAGAGCCCTCCCAGGTGCCACTGTGTTGTTGTCGGGCTGGGTGGCCTGACTGCAATCCCGAGGGGCTCGAAGCAGGGCTCGTAGCAGGTGGGTACCACCAGCCCATCTGCATGGGGCCCAAAATAACTATGTTTTGACAAGTGGCCATCCTTGACAAGCTCCATTCTGGAATCTACATCAAAGGGATTTTTTTGGTACAAACCAGCAGTTATGTACATTTTAATAGTTGTCTTATAGGCATCTGTGTTGTTTTCTAGACATTTAGCCACTCAACTCCTCCCCGTCAAGATGATTTGATGAGTTATTGCGATACACGGCCACGAATTTATATGTATAAATGTTCTTTGTTGTCTTGTTTTTACTATCTCTTTTGTATTGCTTCTCATTTTCCCCGTCTCATTTGTCCAGTTTTTTTTCATTACATTGGCCTGAATTTAACATGAATCAAAAACATACATTCTTATGCATGCGATTCTATGCGTGTATCAAGAGTATTGAAATGTGTTGATAATCAATGAATTGATGAATAATTAGACCCTTATTGTTTGCCTCTAAATATTATTAGTATGGTCGTATTGAATCATAGAAATAACTACAGTATCTGGCTATTATCAGTCTGACACATTTATGTAACCGTTGTTTTGGTTTCTTTTATTTAGCCATGAAATTATATAAACACATTGAAACACATGAGACATTGCCTCTTTTGGAAGGCACTGAGTGCATTGGGCCCATTTCGTCCAGAGTTTACTTTCACACTTTTGTGAATTCTGGTGTAATCCGTAATTTCTGCAAAAGTAATTCCAGCAAATTAATGAAACAGTTGTTGTGTTACGGTTTACCATGTGGGCTGGGCAGAGCCCAAAAATAAAAAAAATCCCAAAGCCAACCAATAGGCATGATGACACACTTGAAATCATTATGCTCGCCCATGAAAGGAGCAAGCTGACCAATCAGGCTCTGTCTCCCACAAAGACAAAGAACCCCCGTATAGACATAACAGACTGTTGGGGCAAGTGCTGTTAGCGAGCACCTATGAAGGCCGGCTTGGCACGTGAGGGGTGGGAGGCCAACACCACGCCCGGCCGCCTTTGTCTCCCCAGTGACGATGTTTACACACCGCACCAGGTACTCATTTGAGGCTGAGTCGATCTAGGGGAGGCCCAGGACCGGTTCAGATAATCGTCACTGGTGTTGGCCGTGAGCGGGAATTGAACCCAGGTCGCCAGGTTCGTAGCGCAGCGCGCTAACTGCTACACTGTCGCTTCCCGCACAAACACACACACATGCACACATACACACACATGCACACACACATGCACACATACACACATGCATGTGTGCTAATGTATGAGATTTGTTTCACCCTTCAACAAGGTGCAGAATGGAGCACTAAGCCCAAGACAAGTTAGCGCTACTTAAAAAGATTATGATGATGATGAGATAATGTTGATGATAAAGAAAATAGCGATGATGATGATGATGAATGACAATGATAATGTTCTAATGATAGTGAAGATGATGCTAATGACCTATAAAAAATATGTTGATGGTAAATAAGGATGAATAAAAATGTTGACTTATGGAAATATAATCGTTAATATTAAATATTCACTGCTGGATGAAGGTCTCCCCATCTCTTATCGGGAATGAGGTTTGTTTGACCATACTTCACTATGCAGGTCATTGCAGGTGGGTTTGATTGAGGCCTAGGGCCAGTTCAAATATCAGCAACCACTGACATGTTAGCCATGGCCTGGAAGTGAACTCAGGTTACACCGATTTCGTAGCGCAGTGCTGTCCCCTATCCCTTGCACCAAACTCCACCACCTCATGGCATACAGTATGTAATCAGCTTACACTGGCAGATCATTGCATGCGTGTGTGTGTGAATGTGGGGACCGTACAGACTTAACAACTACAGGGGCATCTCACTCCTCAGTGTGCCTGGCAAGGATTATTCAACATCGCCTTGCCAGGCACGCTGAGGAGAGGCTTGCTGAGCCCCAATGTGGTTTCAGGAAAGGGCGGTCCTGCACAGATGCCATATTTTCTGTCTGTCTGCTACAGCAGAGGTGTAGGGAATTCCAACAAGACCTGCATCTCTGCTTTATTGACCTGGTTAATGCCTATGATACCATCAAGGCTATACGGGAGATTTTTTGTCTTCGTGTCTAACATATCTGTTTGCATGCTTAACCTTTGAGACAAGCAATATATGTGAGGAGCGGTAGTGTAGTGGTGAGTGTTACGAACCTGGCGACCCACGTTCATGTGCTTGTGAGCCGCCATTCTGCCACTTTCCAAAAAGCTTGAAGGACCAAAAACCTGCTCTAAAGCTTACTAACAAATGCAGAAAAAGAGTTTTGGAATGGAGGCGCCAAATACACGGCCTAAATCTGTTCTCACCCTGCCCTAACCTCACCCACTGTTTTACCATTCTACAATTCGCCACGAGTATTGATGTAATCATGTAATGGTAATTTTTTTGTATGGCATTGGCAGCATATGAAGTATAAATTGCATAATTCAAGCGAGTACCAAAGTTGGTTTAAATTCCTTCCGTGTGGCAACCCCTAATCTCTGGAATAACCCAAAGAACATTTTGGATCAAACACTTACCATTCCTGTTCTACTTTAAATCACTTTTGGAGCTCATATGTCCTCTCATGTGTACCTGAAATTGATCACTCTGCTTTGCAGACTTTACGTTATATAGTTTTTGTTGTTGACGATTTTACTGACCCGGGTGCTGTTTTACACCCAACATTTTCCGTATATGATGCGTTCTACGAGCTTTGTTATATTGTTTGATGCTGATTCTACAGTAGAACCCCTCTTACCGACCACCCGTTAATGACTAATCGCTTCACGACAGGCCTCCCTAGAGCTCAATGTGTTCGCTTACCGATAATTCCCTGTTAACAACGGGCTTTTGTAGGTACAGTAAATATTAATTAATGTATTGATTAACCATGTTTTTTAATTATGTGTTTATAATATTGTCAGTATCTTTATGTATTAATATTCATTGTTTAAATATCATAAGTACTTTCGATGCTATGGGAACGAATTAAGCCTTCAACATGTATCTCTATACTCGTTCAACGACCAAATACTCACTTAACGACGGGTTTCGTGGAACCAATCACCGTCGTTAAGAGGGGTTCTAGTTCTACCGTACCATGTTGATGGTACCAATGCTATTCGGAACTTGATCATGTACAATTGTTTTATGAGGTTTATTTTCTGCTGTAACCAGGTTTCTATTGTGTAACCAGGTCCCCGTCAAAATTTGCATTCATTGACCCCATGGGTGTTGATCTGAACCACATAATATAAGCAAACAAATACAATCAATAATTTTTCCGATTTTTTTTATAACGGCCATCATTCTTCCCAAAAGCGGGGTAAACTCTCAACAAAATCAATAAGAGTAAATGTGTAGATAACAAACATGTATGTTAATGTATGTATATTATGCTTGCCCCAACAGTCTCTTAAGCTATATTTTGTTTGTATTTCTTATGCATAGATGATATTCTAAAACTAGAGATTTTGTACGTGGGTTCTCAAAGAAAGGTGTCCAAGAAATTGCGGTATAGCAATTCACGTATAAATCTGTATGTGCAGAGCTTTGAGTGTTACCTTCTCTGTGTGCTGGTTTTCTCCTGGTCCCACAATAACCAAAACACTCACTCATTCATGGAGTTGGCCAGGCATCCCCACGCAGCACCCTTACGAAAATATCTTCAAACTCATTGAGGCTTTCCTAAGTAAAAATAGTATTATTTTTGAATGAAATAAAACATACAAAAATGTAAAGTGATTACGTAAAAATATTTTTGTACACAAAATATGAAACATGTAAATTCAACAGCTATCAGAAAGTGTTAAATAATGTAGCGTTGTCTTCTTTATACAACGTAGGTTCAATTATAAAAAAGGAACAAAGTGAGAGATATAAAACCAGTGCACGTGCATTGTGTGTTACTCATCCTTGGGGCAGGATGTGCTCCATCGACAGCCGTCCATGCATATACAGTTGCTTCAGACATTGTACGTGGAATGCATACAATTTGGGTTTAGTGCACAGCACATTGCCGTTGACACCCAGTGTGGTGTGTGTTTAATAAAATTTTAAATCAATCACAGATATCATCTCGCAGGGTAAAACGTGCAAGCCCATGCTCTTATGCTTAGGTGGTGAAGCATGTTGATTTTGCAATGCAGACCCTCCTCTCGCTTCATCATAAAGCAACCGCTCGCTGCCTTCTAACTAGTCGCATTCTCCCACCCCCCACCATCCATCCCCGACTCGCTCATCGTCCCTAGCAACTTGGTCAGGCAGAAAAATAATTGTTTCTGACCTGTTGGTGTCTGTACTCTCCTCCCCACCCCACGTCCCATGAGATTAACTTTTATATCCCACTTGCACAGGCCTCTCTTCCCCCGTGTACCTCCCGCATGAAGCTTCTGTGACCCTGTGTGCCCTCTACCATTTAATCTCAGCATAAGCCTCTGGTATCAACAACACATATAGACACCGGTCTCATTTCATTTGCTTGCTTCATACACACTCACATATGAACCATGCTTTGGGATTATAAACCCTTTGCATTGAACACTTAGTTTTTACTCAACGGATGAGACGAATTACAGCCATAGTCCTCAGATGTGTTTTCCTGTTCTCCCCGCATTGTGTTCAGCATGATGTCCAACGTTTTGCTCCATGTGCTGGGAGCTTCTTTATAAACTGAACCCAGTTTGACATCACACTGAACCCGCGGTACAACCCAAAAACTCATTGGAGAGAGTTGTATAGCACAACCGCAAAAACATACGCAGGAATAATACATCCATGGTGTTCGTCATTTGATATCAAATCACAAAACAAGTTAGCATTGGTTACATTATATATTCCAATCGTGAGCATTATAAGATTGCTATAAACTAGTTCAAAGTAAGATGCACCGGCATTTTTGTGCAGATTTTATGATATATTGAGTTGTACAAAATCCATGAAATTGATAAATGAAACCAGTATTGATTTCTCTAATCACCCATATAGCGTATATTACACCATTCTGGCACTATGTTTATGTCAATTCTAATGTAGATATGGTAATGCAAAGCATTAAACGAATTGCACGGTGCTATAACTTCATACAAAGGACTTGTCTTTGATAAAATAAAATATTTATTATAGATAAACATACAGGAATATGTTTCGGTTGCATGTTTTTAGAAAAGGTGTATAGTAGCAAAATAACTCTTGTCATATGTCTCATTTAAATATAAATACGGTACTTTGCTTTTATTTGTTAAAGTGTAATGTTGTTTAATGCTAGTAATTACTTTTTATAGTATAGCATGAAATACAGTTCAGGATTTGAATACATAGCTGCATTAATAGCATATGTTACAATAATTAAGTATAATCAGTATTTTATGATTACAAATACACGTAAAACATCTGAACTAATACATATATAAAATAAATAAATTAAAGTAAATAATGTTCTGCAAGTTGCAAAACAAGAATTATAATTGTTCCTTACTGTATTAATCAAATACTTTTTTTTATATATTTGACCGAAAATAGATTGTATATTTGGTTTGCAAGATTGTGACTTTATTGTTGACAATTTTTTGTTATGCTCTAAAACTTACTAACCAACGGCAACACGATGTTATACAATATAAAGACACCATATCCGACTACAAGAGCATTTAGCACGTTCCATTAAAATGTAAATACCAGGAGCCATGGCTTGAGCCATAAACACTGTGCCTTGCCGGTTGACTATTATCCCAGGAAAAGAGTGGGTTGCATACAAGTCAATATACCGTGTGCAGACACACAAAAAATTCAACACAATCACGTTTCTTTGCGTGGATGAAATATTGATTCCGTCAGCTTTGCTTAAGGAATCCACCTTCGTCATATGCCCTCATCCCGCAAGAAAAGCGGAAGACTGAGCTGAGGCCAAAGGAAAACAATCTCTCCCACAGCCAATATAAACTTTGGTTAGTGCAAGTGACATTGACAGTGTTCAACGAACCTCTTGCATGGGAAGGAATGCTGTAATAGTGAGCCTGTTCAATAACCTCATGCTTACACATTGTATCTGCGTCTGTGCATTATCTCAGACAACTTCAGTTCGAGCTTGGAACTGTACTCAGAAAGTAATGTTATTATTGATCTGTATGTTTTAAATGTGCTGAGACTCGTGTAAGAGTCGAGTTTGGATGAAACATTCTTGTCTCTATTGGCATGACTGAGAAACAGGAAGCTCTGTTTAATCTCCTGGTAGTTTTTTTTATATTATTATACTGCACAATCTGGGGAGTGATTTCAAGCTGAGTTGAAGACAATTTTCCCACGTCAGATTACCCACTGCGTGTGAGCCCTGTTGCGAGAGACTAGGTGGGTCACATTCAAAAATAACGTGTGTGGCTAGAGACCAAAGTAGAGCTTCTAATATTCGAAATAAAGACTGTGTCTTGCTATATATTTCCTTTTTAGTGTACATTTACATAAAATATATGGGTATTTTAAACTGAAAAACAAACACCTTATTTACTATTCTCTGAATCATAAAAAAAAATCAATGCTTACTAAATTACTGAATATAAACATGGCAACATTTAAAATTGCCGAAATTACATTGCATAAATGGCATTGTTGTGGTGCAGTAGTTATCACACCGGACTATGAACCTGGTGACCTGAATGTAATTCCTGGCGATGGCTAACATCAGTGGTGAGTGATATCTGAATGAGTCCTGGGCCTTGTCCTTCACCAGTCCACACTAGCCAACATTAGTTAAACAACCCCTGTTACTGACACGGTGTTGGGAGGCCTTCATCCAGCAGTAGATTGAGAAATGGTTGTACATTATTTATTATTATTTTATTTTATTCCGGATGATCATCGATTTTACTGGTGGTACGTTGGCTGACATGCTTATTGACTATACAACTGCCATACTTTCTTTATTTAACCAGCATAGGTATGGTTACTAATTGCTTTGCAAATACCATGTTGTATTGAGGTTGCTCCAGCATTCAAAAGCATGTAAAATGTTATAAGGTCCCATGACATTATTCCCCACAATACTAATCTGTTGCAGTTTGCGTTGTAGCTAAATTAACGGAACTCATCAGAGAATCATATTCACTCTTACGGCACTCCTAGAGCTCCCCTGGCTATGGTGTTTAATGTTGGCCACAAGGTCCCCTTTGTGCGCCAACAGAGCTGAAATTGCCCTATGCACATATTGTGATGT